CGTGCGTGCGTGCGTGCGTGCGTGCGTGCGTGCGTGCGTGCGTGCGTGTGTCTGTAAGTGTGCGTGCATGTGTGCGTGCGTGCATGTGTGCGTGCATGCATGCGTGTGTGGTCTGTATCTGTCGGGCTGTCTGTCTGTCTGTCCGTATGTGTGCGTGTGAGTGTGTACATGCGTGCGTGCATGTGTGCGTGCATGCATGCGTGTGTGGTCTGTATCTGTCTGGCTGTCTGTCTGTCTGTCCGTATGTGTGCGTGTGAGTGTGTACGTGCGTGCGTGCATGTGTGCCTGCGTGCGTGTGTTCGAGCATGGTTGCCTGCATGCATGCCTACGCGCATGCCTGTGTTCATGTTTGCATGATCTTCTTTGTGTCTGTGTGTCTGCGTGCGTGAGTGCATGCATCTTTGTGTTGGGAATTCATTATTGGTTTGAAATTTTCAATTAATAAACGGTTTAAGACGACCAAATTTTCAATTAAAATTTAGAAATTAGAAATTAGAAATTAGAATTTTCAATTAAAATTGAGTTCAGACCATTTTTTATATTTGTAAATATTTAAAAAACACAGTATTGTACATAATGTGTTTATTGCCATTAATTGTGATTAAATGAATTCACTATGATAAAATAAATTATAAGTACTGTTTGGTAGTTTTGTTTACACGTTTGCATTATTATTACCCCATGCAGCTATCAGCAATCCTGATGAAATTTCATTTGCAGTCTTGATATGCACAGTATTCATGAATATTATCCTGTCTTGATTATATTTGCATAAGTTTACTTTCAAGCAGTATTGAGTTAGTATTATAAAATGCATATATTTTATTAAAATATTTTATACATATATTTTATACAATATATTTCTTTTTAGGTGGTAGCTTGTATAAAAAGATTTTACAACAGCAGAATCGGCCCTTTCATGAACAGGTGAGGTAACAAACACTTGCCTTTTTTTCTCTTTATTCTAGATGAATAAATGTGCATATACAATAAACATTTATGTTTGTTTCCTTTTAAATCACAAACTAAGGCTGCATATGTCCACACATTTTTACAGGTGGTGCTTCAATACTTTGGGCAAATAACATCTGCCATTGCCCATATTCACGAGAATGGTATTCTTCACAGGTATAATTTATAAGGATTGATCTGGTGAATGTGCTTTGAATGTGGAAATGTACAGAACCTTGTATGTAGACTTATAAATAACCCAGCATGGTCCTGGATCAATAGTGTTTTATATGTGGATCGGCTTCTATTAGTACCAGTACCTCTATACAAATCTGTGCATGTACAGCTAGGAGCTTGTGGCTGGCCTGGCATGGCCCTGAATCAGTACTATCAGGGGCGTGTACAGGATTTGTACCAGGGGGGGGTGAGGTAACCCCCTGGACCCCCCTCTTGTACACGCCCCTGTAATAATATGTGCCTGAGAATAGTGGATTTAACATTTTGCAAAACTAGCAAGGAACATCACACATTTTACTATTCAGAACTATACATTTCATTATTCTATTCATTATTATTCTAATTATTATTCTATTCATTATTCTATTTATTTACATACATTACGTTTGGCATACATTTTACTCGTCAGCAGTGCTCAGCACTATTAAATTCACCTATTATAACCGGGCTTAATTTTTGCACATGTCAGAGAGAAAAAAAATCTAACCGAAAGATTCGTAGGTTTGGATACCCGTTCGTGGTAATATGAACATATCTCACCTGAGATCAGTGTAATTCCACATTATAGCGATGCTACAAGGGCAATCCCACTTTTCTTCTCCGTAAACACCGATACAAGCTCTACGAAGAGCACAAGGAAGCAGGATACTGCAACGCTCATAACAACGCTTTGGTGCAGAGACCATACTTTAGCACCATCATGGCCAGCCTACGCTCTATGTCTATAGCCGCGTACAGTCGACCGCCAGTGGCCTGCGACAACTGTAGCGGGCTATTAGTTAGAGCTAGCTCCAGCCGTGAAATCGGTGTCGCAGAGCGGGCCGTCGCTCTTGTGGCAAGTATCGTGAGCGCCCGCACGTAGTAAGCACTGGAAGCGCTTCCAGTAAATTTTGGTTAAAAAATTTTTGTTCCTACATTTTGTCCTAAATCTCTACTCGCAAGACTCACCAGATTGGCATCTCCATGACGAGTCTTGACATCCAAAAATTTCAGCGGGGGCATGCCCCGAGGACCCCC